ATCACACCCCCTGTAAGCCGGGTCCTGTGAGCGCGCTTCATCACACGGGCGACGGTATCACACTCCCTTGTTATCACACCCCCTTGTTATCACACCCCCTGTTGGTGAGACTCTGTGAGTACACTTTATCACACGGGTGACATAAGATATCACACCCCCTACAGAATACCACACCCGTGTGATAACTTTCGTCCTCCCGAAAATGTTATCACACGGGTGTGGTATCTTATGCAACCTACGGTAATACAGAAGAAATGTCGGCCTTGTATGTGACGTGATGTAATGTGTCTTATGAGGGTGCCGCGACGACAATTAACCTATTGCAGTTGAGATGCTTAGGCTTGTTGTGTCCCAAGCAGCAAAAAGGAGCAAAAACAGAGCCTGTGAAGGTGTCGCAGTACTGCTGTAGGCGATAGCCCACACCCCACACCAACGCTGTACTACTGCGGTATTAGAGAGCAAACCGCGAGCATGTGGAGGGCTACAGCAGTAGTTTGGTCCCTGGAGACTACTGCTGCGGATGGTCAACCCTTGAGTAATCCTTTGGTGGTGTTGTTGTGCTCCTGTTTTTGTTGTCGCATTGGCTCTCTGCGTACTGCTGTAGTACTGCTGTAGTACTGCTGTAGTCTCCTGTAGTCCTCAGCCGTTGCCGAGGGTGAAGGTAAAGCACGCGAAGTACCTATCAGGCAGGTCTGAGGTTCCGCCGCATTTTTTGGAATGGATGCCGTTGTGTGTTGTGTGTTGGTGTCTTGGCTATGGAATACTGAACGTTGCACAAACCGCTACTATTGTGGCTCTGTAGCCGGAGTCGTTAAGGGTGGTTCTTCAAAGGATGGGCTCGCCAGCGCGAAAAGGTCGCGCGGTGGGTGGTGTCGGCGTTTGTCCTACTTCTCTCCGCTCTCTCTCTCTCTCTCTCTCTCTCTCTCTCTCTCTCTCTCTCTCTCTCTCAATTCAAACTGGACAATAGATCAACGACATTTTCGTCGTACGTTGAATTTACACGTCTGTACAGCTTCCACCTGGGTATATCACGAGACTTCGACACACGCACCTGATTCAGTTGGCAAGTTTCGTCTGTTGAGCGCCAGCTGGCAAAGTCCAACCGACCGTTGCGAGTTTGCTGCGCTGTACAGCGGATGAGACAAATAATGTGGAAGTTGTCAACAGGGGCGCCCCAGTCTGCAGTCGCAGCGCATACAATAGAGATCATAATATTCATAATACTGGGGGGGGGGTGGTGAAGTTCATTGCCTGATTACCGTATATGACACAAGATAACACACCCCCTTGGCCGATTTTCAAAGCTCGATTTCTCAACAGCAGGAAGAAGAGTCACAGCGCCGAAAACGGCGGCGTTGGAACCGTCTCGTCGAGAGCTGTTCGAAAACGTATTGTTTCATTTATGCAT